CAGGGGAAATGGGTTGCTGATAGAGAAGGGAAGATAACAAATAATGAAGCCAACAAGAAAAGGTATTATTTTATTTTTCAAAATGCTTCTCTTTAAGGTGTAGACTACTTTACTTGCTTATGTCTTTCACGCTGTGCTATGAGGCGCCATATTGTGCCAGAGCTGCTTTGTTCTCAAAAATAATTAAGTTGAGCTTACCAGAGGAAACAAGCCTGTAGTCAAATCCCAGAACCATGAAGATAGCTCTGAGTGATCCACAAAGATTCCAGTCTGCAAAATAATTGAACTGTGTAAGCACATATACAGAGGGAAAACAATGCTGATTTAGTTCAGCTTTGTTTGCATACAACTGTTAATTAGATTAAATGTTTTTCTTTATGACCGTGTGCATATTGCATAGAAAAGTTTGTCTTGTGTGAACATATAAGTTGTCAGATAAACTAGGTAGTTACAAATTAAATGAGTTGCTGCATATATTGTAGAAGAACGTAGCTTAATCTTAGTAACTTAATTACTTCATATGAAAAAAATAGTCCCTGACATTTTGAAACCACCTTTCTGATATTTCTTACCCGTTCAAAATGCTTAAAGCCACCATCAGAGTCAGACAAAAATCTGTTGAAGCATGGAGGTCTTTTGGTTAGATTGATGCCCTCCCCTAATTACTAGACTTGTATAAACTTAGCCTGGTTTCCCTAATAAAAGCAAAAGACTAACAGCCTTTATTCAGTTAGGGAAATGTGGGGCCCAGCAGTAAAATGCCTGGTGTTTATGCTGTGGATCCTGACAGCGTCTTCCTTCTGGAACTGAGCGGCTTCATTTGTTTGAAAACAAAATTGCTGTTAGTAGAAATCACAAAGTGGGGCAGCAGCCCCGCTCGCATCGTTAACAAATGCAGCAGCAGAGTTTTCTGTGCCACGGGATGGCGCTTCTGCAGCGTGCTGCTCCCTCGCTGAACTTGGCAGGGTTCAAGGGTTAAACACGCAGATATCCTCAAACTGCTTCCAAGCTGCGCTCTCCAGTAAAACCGCTGTCAGACGCAATACAGAGAGGCAGCAATGACCTTGAAGGACAAGAACAGAACTCCCCAAAGAAGCACTTGAAGGGTTTTATTCAAAGGTGTTTCAGACCACTTCAATTATCTTAAAAAAAAATCCCAAGGAGATAAACACAAAATGAAGTGTAATCTAAAAATCAAAGGTAACAATGTACATCTATAAAAAGACCGGGATATATATTATGATCCAAGTATTGGTTTCCTTTCTGAGCACCCTGGTTAAGTCATCAAAATATTTTGTCAAAAAAAAAATTAGATCAATAAAGTACATTAAAGATGTATATGAAGACACAAGGCCAGATACCCTACCTGCCTCATCTCTGCATTTAAAAATGAATCAATTCTACTGCTATATAATTAATTGCAGCATGGATGAAAATATGTCCTAATAGCTCATATGGATCAGTTTAGTTCCATCTTGAGAACATCCAGCTTTTACGGGATGCTGTCCCTTGCTGACTCAAATCACAGTGCCCTGTGCACGGCTCGCTGTTCAGGTCATATTATTAGCGACTGTTCATCCTGAGCTAAAAACTTGCTGATGCAACCCTCAGTTCGTTTATCCTTTGCCAAAAGAGCAACTTTAAAAAATTATTTTCTCTTTCGTCTATGTGTATAATAACTCAAACAAGATGAGATGGGGGTGAACCTTTAATATACTTACATGTAAGCTGGCCGTTCTGTAGCTGAGTTTCATTTCGAGTGCGAGGGAAAAGATTAATGTCTTCCAGAAATACAGTATTTTGTGGTATAATGAGGGAATTGGGCACAGGAAAGTTTGTAATAAGGAAAAAAAAAATACTTCATGTTCAAACTACACTTAGAAAAGGCTGAGACCAAGCGCTCAGTGGGGTGTTGGTATCTTATTTTTTCCTTGGTATATTACTCAGCTCGCAACAATTAGATTTAGATCCTGTGAATTCTCAATGACTCGTCACTGAGGAGGGGCTAATATTTATGGGCCCATTAGAGAGGGAAGGCTTCAGCAGCTTGACCCTCCCTGGGATCGCTGCGTCCCGGAGCGGCAGCTGCTCCCTCACGAGCCGCGGGGTCCCTGACGAGCCCCTCATGAGCCCCGGGGTCCCTCACGAGCCCCAGGGTCCCTCACGAGCCCCTCACGAGACCCCCGGGGTCCCTGACGAGCCCCTCAAGAGCCCTGGGGTCCCTGACGAGCCCCCCGGGGTCCCTCACGAGCCCCTCAAGAGCCCCTCACGAGCCCCGGGGTCCCTCACGAGCCCCCCGGGGTCCCTCACGAGCCCCTCAAGAGCCCCTCATGAGCCCCTCACGAGCCCCTCAAGAGCCCCGGGGTCCCTCACGAACCCCTCACGAGCCCCGGGGTCCCTCACGAGCCCCCCGGGGTCCCTCAGGAGCCCCGGGGTCCCTCACGAGCCCCCCGGGGTCCCTCACGAACCCGTCACGCGCCCCCTCCGGGCCCGCCTTTCCCGGGCCCCGCCCAGGCCCCGCCCCTCCCGCCCCTCGGGCCGCTGCCATTGGCCGGCGCGGCGCGCGCGCGGCCCCGGCGTGCCCGGCCCCCCGCGGGGTCACGTGATCCCCAAGATGGCCGCCGCCGCCCTGTTGTTTTGATGAATAATCTCTGCGCGGGGCAGCGGCCGCGGGCGGGCGGGGGCCGGCGCCGGGAGCTCTGAGGGGCGCGGGGGCACCGGGAGGGCGGCTTCCCCTCGGCCGCGGCTGCAGCTGAGGCGCGGGCGGGCGGCGGGGAGCGGGCCGGGGGCGGCGGTGCTGCCGGCGGGCGAGGCGCGGCGTGGTCGCCCCGGAGATGCCCTTGTGAGGCGGCCCGGGGGGCAGCGGCGGCAGGAGAGCGCTGCCTCGGAGCGGCCCCGCGGCGGGGCGGAGGAACGCGCCCCTCCTCCGGACACCATTAAGAGGAAGGCGATGGAGGAGCTGAGCGCGGACGAGGCGAGTGCGCGGGGCCGGGGCCCGAGGGGCGGGTGGGCCGCGGGGAGGGAGGGGGCGCCGGGCTGTGCTGGGCCCCGCTCGGACCCCAGGGTGTGCAGGCAGCGAGTCTGAGCAGCTCTGCCTTCGCCCCGTGGCTGTGCTCCGTGTTTTTCTCTTTCCTCCTGTCCCCGGGCTGTCCCTGACCCGCGACCCCCCGGCTCGGCCATGGGGACGGGTTGCTGCTCTCCTGGTTAATTGTTTATTCTCTGCTTCCATCTGCTAGGTAGCCTTTGTCTGCAGCGTGTTCCCCCTCTGTGTCAATGTTCTTTGTGTGTGATTTGAAACACCCAACCTTTTAGCATAGTAGAACACTTGAAATTTTGCTTCCCTAGACTCTTTGCTGAGAAGCAAGATGGGTGTGTTCGTGGTCTTATATTTAGTATCATTTCTTCTTGAAGCAGCTTGAATCAGGCTTCTCAGTTTTCCACTGTTTCCTTTGATTTTCTTTATTTTTTCAAGCTCTTCGTCTTTCACTCAAGAATTTTAGTGTTATGCTGTAGTTGGCAAATACCTATAATGTATATATTCTATTCACATAGAATAAAGTAAACTATTCCTTGTTTCTTTCTTTTAAAGGATGCTGTTTCCCTATTTTTTAAAATAGAATAAGGTCTTATGTTTTGCCCATATATTAGAGGATTTCCAAATTAATTATTTGGGTTCTTATAGCAGGATCCAGGGAGTTTCCCACTGATCCTGTGTAATCCTGGAATGAAAATGTATTGTATTGGACCTGCTGCAATACAGGCTCAGTGCTGTATTTATATTCCAGGGAGGATCAAAAGAAGTTATTTTTATTCTGTCCATATCTTATAGTGGGATTCTAGAGCAGGGTGGCTGCTGTTGTCACTCAGATTTGTATTCCAAAAAGTTGGGATGTTTTTGATGATGTTCTCTGTCACGATTTAGCAATCCTGCTGTGTTGCATCATGATCTAGGAGAAAACACTTTGTGCTGTTTACTTGATGAAGGTCCTCATAGTCTGTGGAAGCACTGAGAAAAGGAGAACAGCTCCCATGTTAGGAGGAGTGGGATGGGACACTGGTGGTGTAAGTCTACTGTGGAAGAGGGTCTCCAGTTTTACAGGTGTGTTTCGTGAGTACTTTGTTTACATGCAGTTCTTCTCATTGTTAAACTGCCCTGATGCTGAGGTGTTTTGTGATTAATTTCAGAATTATTCAACCTATGTAGGCTTATTTGTGTCACTGCCTCAGCACGTTACTGACATCATCAAAACCACTGCATCATGGATCTGAGGCTGCAGGAAAGGAGTTCTCCAGTGAGGACTCATCCACCTTTTTGGCCAAATGTTTGTCTCGAGCAACTTTTCCACGTCCTTCTTGTCCAGTTCAGCAAGGACCAACCCATATGGTCTTTTAGGTGATTGCTTGTGACAATCTTTTATCATTTTTAAAGGAGTCACGGTGTCACTTCTTGTTATTAATGGGTCGCTCACTGAAAAGTCAGAGCCAAGTCAATTTTAATTTTCCTCCACATCTCCCCTTTACTGTTACTTGGCATGATGGGCCTGGATCAGACTATACTGAAAAATAACCTTCTGGAAATATATTAAAGGTGACTTCTTCAGATTCAGACTTTTTTTCAGGCAATGACTGGAGGTGAAAAAATACTTAATGGAATTTTAATTGCAAGGCTCTAACAGATAAGGTTATCTTCTGTTATCAAGCCATAATTAAATATAACACTAACGGGTTGCAGCTTAAAAAGAAGAGATATACAATTGATCACACACGTTTTTTAGTTTCAAGAAGCTATTTTCCCCTCTAATTAACAGTGTCTCTCCCTGACATTTCTTGGTGT